TCATCCAAGGCACTAAGACATTTGATTTCCACCTGTAATAATATTAAGCCTTTACTTGTTCAACATTCATTTGATGCCTACCTTTCTCTTTTCCCACATTAAAAAACATCAATAAATATGAGCCAATGCTAAGGTAGATTTCATCACTCTTTCTCTTCAGACTTTGTCTTCCTCTCCAGCTCTGTCTTGTCTGCCTGAATCATAACTGTTAATATTTTCCTGTGTTCAGCTATTGGTCTTTCATTCTTCTTGATATCTAATTTCTCCTTCAGATAACTCATCCATTTTCATGGCTTCAGCTATGCCTTTACTTGAATGATTCCCAAAATTCTATCGCCAATACTTTCCCCTCATCTAAGCACCAGTCATTTATTTTCAGCTCTTCACTGGACATTTCTACTCTGATGATTTCAAAATAAATATGCTGAATTCTCTACCCCTCAATAACCTCCCACTCCTGATTTCCTTTTTATTTTCAAAAATAGCAACCTGTTTTCGATTATTCATACTTGAAACCTTGGGCCAAGGCACAAGAATGGCAATGCAAAGATGTACAAGAAACAGAAGTTAACGTACAGAAGTTAATGTACAGAAGTGCAGTGAGCCAGGCTCAGCGGCACGAACTTGAGGCCTTTGCCCCATGTTACTCAGTGCCACCTAATGGTCACCATTTAGAAAGGCAGGCCTACTTTTGCCAGATGCAATTTGGCAAAGGAAAAGATAAATGTCAATGTTATAGTGAAATGTATCAATATATTTAAACGTTGTCACTTAAACAAAATACAGCACTCTTGGAGCAACATGAAGTTTATATATGAGTATGTTTATTCCAAGAGCTGCCAATTTGTGACCACTATGAAATCAGCTGAGCTAAAAAACAATTGGGAAAAAAAATAAGTAAAAGTAACTAGCAGATAGGTATTCTTAATTATGAGAATGATGCTAGAACTAACATAGATAACCCAAAAGAATGGAGTCATTCCAGCCATCCCAAGACTTTAGGAAACTTAGCATAGTGTTTTAGAAAAATAGGCTAATTTCATCAGTGAGATAACCAACATTGAGCTAAAACCACAAACCTGAAATTACAAATCACACTTTCTAAATCAGTGAAGCAAAATCACACAGCCAGGAACTACAAAAAGTAATCCTGACTCTTCCAAAATAAGCCTCAGGTTATACTTCTTTCCTTAAAGGCACTGTGAGGCATGAAAAGTAAATTTTCAGCCTAAGAGGTAGATTTCCATTAATATGCATTATGGTTCCCATGTCTCAAATTCTTACATTGTTCTATTTTTTGAAAGACACTGTACTTTTGGGTTTTACATAACATATATTGTATTTCCTTTGGAAATAAATATTACAGACTTCTAAAATTAGACTTCTGGAGATTGAGCCAAAGACATACACCAGTCAAAGACATATACTGATGACATAAAGCAATCTTGTGGCAAGATCTCTTAAGACTTCAAAAAGACAGACGCAGATGGAATTAAGCACATATACATTTATACAATGTTTACTTACAAAATAAAATTAAAAATTAGATTAACTGCCTTCACACTTGGGATTTTTACTTGCAAATGCAATACTGATTGAGAAAATTGGTAAACTATGGAAACTTAGATAATTCAATATTTTTTCAATATTCTGTAAAGGGTATTTTTATAACATAAGGGAAATGTAAAATATATATTAAAACATGGTTAAGATTATATAAACACTCCAACTATCATTATAAAATCTATGCTAAATATAAATTTGGCAAATGACAGTAAATAATATCAAACTTTTACTTTGTGTGTGCTTCAGAAATATTATTTTCCAATAACTTTACCTAGGTCAGGTGGCCAAATTGTCTGATTAGAATATTTTAGGATAAAGATGAAAAAAGCATTGTATGAAATACTATAGCATAAGGTCTTCTGGATTTTTCTGAGTTGCCCTTGATCTGCATGCATTCATTTCTGAATTAGAAAACTTCTAATATTTTGTGAAAAGAGGATACATATTTCTTTAAATTGAGAAACTAAATTTCATGTTAATATAGTATCAGTTTATTGTACTTCAGATTTTAGCACAAGCATTTCAGAACACTGAAAAACTATATTTAGAGTGAGATCTACATATTCCATACAGATGGAATCAGTCCATGAATATATATTGGTATCATTCTTGCCAGTCCTAATAAAACTCTGTCTTTAGTGTGTTTGAACAAGGCTTAAGTTATACATGAAAACTGAAACATCAAACCATTATATACCCTTTAAGTGTAGATAAAATAATTTTACATCCATACAATATTTTTAAATGTTGACTTTAGCAAAAACTTAAAAATTCTCTGAAATTTGAAATGAAAATTCATGATGCACAAAATTATGAAAGAAGAAAATGTCTACTCCAAATATCCCATAACTTTTTTGAACAAACTCTCAGTGTTGTGATTTAATCTTTTACATTTATATTTGCTGTCTGTATTTGAGTTTACAAAGTGCTTTCAAATGCAATACAACATTTAACCTGCACTATGGCCTTTTGTGAAAAGTGGCGTTCTTGCGCTTTTAATGATGAGAAGAGTCTCCTGGAGGTGAATGACCAAATTCATCATCACACAACTAGAAATAAATGGCAGGACTGAAGCTTGAAGCTCTGGTTCTCTGAATGCCAGCCAGAGTGTTCTAACAGACCACCATGTGCTATGCTGGTTTCTGATCAGATCTGTTTTTCCTCTATCCATTTTACACACTTACAATCCATGAGAAGATAAATGGAACCATTTTAAATTTTTGAATTTTTCTTTGTAATCTGACCTTGTTGAAATCCCAGCTTTGTCTGAGCATAGCATAACTCAAATGTGAAATCACATTCATGTTTGTGTGCATCTGCATGTGAGTGTGCTCACACATATGTATACATGTGATGAATTCCTATAGAGTTACATGCACTGCTTTCTTTTATTTTCTTCTACAAAAAAATTGCCATGGTTCTAAGAAGAAAATAGGAGAGAAAAAGAGAATCTTAGTAACCATGCAGGAATCAAAGACTTTAGTAAAATGGAAATGCATCAGCAGGAAGTCATAAATTTGTTATTTTTTAAAAATACGGTCATGTGTCAATAGGTTTACATTCTGAGGAATGCATAATGTATTCCTCATTGTGTGAACGTCATCGAGTGGAATTACACAAACGTAGATGGTATAGTCTACCACATACCTACGTTATATGATGGAGCCTATTGTTCCTAGGCCAGGAATTTACACAGCATGTTACAGTATTCATCTTATGGGATCACCATTATGTATATAGTCTGTCGTTGACCAAAACATTGTTATGTGGCACGTGACTATATATAGCCAGGTGGGTAGAGCTTGCCCTGGACTGTAAATACATAATTCTTAGGAATCCAAAGTTCTAGAGTTGGAATGGCTTGACCTGAGTTTTTGAGAATGCAACAGGAATATGCAACTGAACAAATGTATAATTCTGTTTCTTGGTATAAACCTGTTCCATATATATTTATATAGCTTATTTTTGCCTAATGCTGATATAAAATTTGACTAATAACAAAATTAATTATATTAGTCCTTAGAGGGGAAGTCTGCTTTTGACTTGAATGAAATGTGCCCCAAAACACCCTAGAAGAGATTAGACTTAATCTAATTATCTGTCCTCATAGTTCCTTACTATAAGCACTTTCTTCCTTTCTCAAAATCCATCTTGTCTTCTGCTTGATTTCACTGTAGAGTTGAAATTGCACTTTATGGCATCAGCCTGTCATCCAGAAAATAACCGGTATCACAGATGTGTCATTGAAAGTTCGATTCCAAAACAAAGAGGAAGATAGAATGGGCTCTCACGGGCTTCTGATCTTGTTTAAAGAGATGTCTGAGATCGGGCAAGGTGACTCACGCCTGTAATCCTAGCACTTTGGGAGGCTGAGGAGGGTGATCATTTGAGGTCAGTTTGGCACCAGCCTGGCCAACATGGTGAAACCTCGTCTCTACTAAAAAATACACCTGTAATCCCAGATACTCAGGAGTCTGAGGCAGGAGAATCTCTTGAACCTGGGAGGTGGAGGTTGCAGTAAACCGGGATT